TTTGATATCATCCACATGACTACACATACTTTGTTATCATTTACATGACTACACATACCTTGATATCATCCACACGACTACACATACCTTGATATCATTCTCGTGACTACACATACCTTGACATCGTCCACATGACTACACATACTTTGATATCATTCACATGAATACGCATACTTTGATATCATCCACATAACTACACATACGTTGATATCATCCACATGACTACACATGCTTTGATATCATCCAGATTACTACACATACCTTGATATCGTTCACATGACTACACATACATTCATATCATTCACGTGACTACACATACATTCATATCATCCACATGACTACACATACCTTAATCATGTTATCTACAGGACATCTAGCTGACAATTCTAGAACATAATTTAAAGCTGATGCACCAGTTGATTTGAAAGCAGCTTTCACTTCTGGATCAGGTTCAATAACAGATGAGTAAAGAGCCACCCCTCTGCGTTTAAGAGCCCCAGCATCCTGTCATCCAAAAAAAAATAGTGTTATATTGCATGTCAGTTTCATGGTAAAAATTGACGTTGCCCTCCATTCAGATTAGATGCAATGATTAGAAATATCATGGCTGTATCATGGCTCCTTTGCTAATACATGACTTAATCTCTTCACCACCAGTACCTCTTTTCATCACAAATTCACAAAATAGTCCTGTTTTCAGTCTTCACTTTCCTTCAGAAGATTGGGACAAAAATAGCCAAATTCAGTAAAAACTAAATATTTACTCAAATTTTTACTTCGTGGATGGTCTATACTGGTCCAGTATAGAGGAATTTGCGTGTGTGGATAAAAGATAAACTGGTCCTCTGTACCACTTTGATTCAGTGTGAGGTCACGTGATATTATGTATTCATGAATGTGCAACTTTTGCTGACAACTTTTGTTGATCCGTGTATCATGCAATGTTATAAGTTGATAGAGTGCCAACAACAACCAGCAACTCGTAGCAAAATAGAACATATGTCTATTACAATCATCAAGTCGAGTATTAGGTAGATATCCAATCATCTAGTAACATTTGTAACATTTCAAAGCCACAGCAATTTTGTTCATTTCAAATCGTGCGTCGCGTAAAAAAACAGACCGCTATCAGAATGGTTGGACCACACTTTGAAGTGATTATAATCATACAAAATAATTGCAAATATGTTTTTTTAAACAAGAACATTTTCGATTTCATACCTAAGATAACGTTTTTAAATATTAGTAATGGCGACATTATCCTACATTCTGGTGACTGATGGTATGGTAAACCACATTCAAACAATAATTATGTTTTGTATTTTATGTATTTAGATGATTTAGGCCAGAAAAAATCGGTTTCTTGCTTCTGCATCATCATAAATATATAAAATCACACGTTCGGTTTCTGGGTCATCACCAATGGAAACACGTTGAGCAGAATCCACGAAGTAAAAACGTCTCTACTTTTCAGTTTTGTTTAGTTTTAGTTATATCCCCCATCTCTACTAAGCCATATAAAAAAAAGACCTCATCATTTTCAAATTTCAATAATACGAGAAACAAATTTACATTTAAAAAAATAAATACCGTGTATTTGTCTTTGGTTGGTCTGATCGCATTTAATAACATTGTTGTTAAATTATCTTCAAATGTCTGCACTGCCTCGCCTGTCCTCTCAAACGCAACCTGTAATAAATAAATATATAAATATAATTGGAGAGGAATGATCAAACTTTAGTTTGCTGTCACAGTGACACTTTCACACTATCTTGGTGTCTTGCTATCTGTAAAAATGCGTCTAGAATTTCTGATAGTGTGTTTTGTTCTCTTGTAATATCGTGTCAAAGTCGGTACTGGCCCCAAAAGTAATCCTACTTAAGAAAGATATCTTGGCAAGCCAAGTGTCGTCAGTAGAAATATAGAAAGCATCGTTTGAATATAATGTGAGCAGGATTTGTATGTGAATATATTATTGACATGTCAGTAAAATTTCGATTTGGCCAATGCATTTTGCTTTGTACCCCACCACGCACATATTCACAATCTTGACAACCCTCCTCTCATTTGCCATGTACCATCCCTTACCACTAATACGTCACATATGAACTTATGATACAACACTTCAGCGTGCGTCCCTCGTCCAATCGGTGCCAGTCTGTCAAGCTGTTGTTTAGCATTGTCACATTCTGTCGTTAGATCTCTATATCTTCTGATCACTTCTGTCGGGTCAGACTTTGTCAATTCTCGACGGCTTTCCCGGAGCTTCGTCGAATTCCGTTGTGGTAGTGAGTGTCTGGAACGCAAGCAAAACAATTAATGATGTAAAAAACGTACCACGTGACAATTGAGAATATCAATATAAAGATAAACGACGATTATAGGACATCCACTCCAGACTAAATACTGTGTGTAGCAAAAATACCACAAATCAGCTAATGCTTTGTTCTCAGTTCCACGCATAAGACGTCGACAAAATCGTAATACCCGTAATTAACAACTTTAAATATCGACACACAAGAAGCTATGAACCCAAATCTTAATGTACACTGGTGACTTCTGAGTTACCCGTTTGGAAAGTCAATAACTTTTTTTCAGTACTCGTCTTTTTAGCTGTTAGAGAATTCAACTTTGACAAGTCAACATCCCCAAACTGTACTATCTGGCAAACTGCATATTGTATGCTGGGGGAACCATAGCAACACTTATCGACACTTTATAGTTTTAAGGAATAGTTATACGCAAGAGGGTTGTTTTGTTATTGGGTATATAATATTACCAAAGACTCTAGTGTTTTTCTAGTGTATTTTATAATACTAAGCTAGATCACGCCGCATAATTAAACAAACTTTCTTGTTGTATAACTCATGAATGAACCTTTATTGTGACGCGACGTTCTGAAATTATGTTTGGGTGACAGAAAATATGTGGTTATCGAAATACCGGCCAGGTCATACCAGGTCATACCGCTTTGCCGACGAACACTTAGTACATATAGTAATATGCATATATGTAGCATACCTCTGTATTATTGTCATAGCAACAACAAACAACAACACGCCAATGTATATAACACACACTTTACGCATTGTACTTTGTCTGTTGGTAATTCGTTTTTAAAGCGCGGTGTTCTCGCGCAGCGCGTGTTCGAATTTCATGTAGTTTTATGTAAATAAACAATGTATTTTACACGCGTTGTATACGTCGCTATGAGTCCCATACAGGACGCGGCGCGACGATTGCCGCCCTTTAAATCAATAAGTTATTTGCAAACACAGGGTAACACACTACCATTGTAATGTTATGAAGTTGTTCTTATTGTATACTCTTGTATTTATTGTAAGTAATCGAATGATTTCAATAAAAGTTGTTTTAAAGCGGGGGGATCGTCACCTGCGCACGCGCGGAAATTTCCCAAGCGACGATAACACACAATTTACTATTTTTTTTTGTTTTTCCTACTTTTATTTGCTTGTCAGTTTTTATTTTCCGCTGTGTATTTTATTCTAACTTTAATTGTATGTTTGTTTTTATTCACATCTGTATTGCATTTTAGTCAAAATCCTAATAGGGATACGAACGCAATAAAGATAATTGTTATTATTATTACACGTTAAAAACGCAAAGGCTCATGGGTAGACGCTTGTTTGTAAACAATAACATGCTATGGCCATCTGACGCATGCGCAGGTAACGACTCCCGCTTTAAATCAAATACTTGTAAAAAAAAATCGCTGATTGTACCTATTACTTAGAATAACTCATAATTATCAAACAAAACAATAAAATTACCACGACTGGGCTAGTCAATCTATGACATAAAATTATATGTAAGAGAATAGTCTCTGTTAAGAACAGGGGAAACGCATTTCTAGTGATTAGAAGTAGAAATTAAAAGTAGAATGAACAAAACTAAAACTATTCGCTTACCCGGAAGAGAAGTCGTCTACCATCGTTCGGAGTGCTTTGTTTTCAAATTCCAGTTTTAACTTTTCGTCTTCCAACTTTTGGATTCGTGAATTCCAAACTTGTTCGTGGAATTTAATTTCTGCCATTTGTACGTAATTGTTGTTGACTGGCTCTTCTGTGATGTGTGTCACAGGACCCCGTTCCACAGTAGGGGAGGAATCACTTTGCAAAGCATGATCCGCACGGCAAATGTCTTTGTCATTTGTAACTGTTTCAGTTGTTTGTACCAGATGAACACGTCCCTTCTCATCCTCTTTCACTTGTGTATGTGACACCGCGTGGTGACTTACGTCACTATGTTTAGTGCGAGTGTTTTCGGTGTTGATAACGTCACTTTGTTTTTGTAACGTAATATTATTTGTGGCACGGTTGATGTGTGTGGCGTTCTCTTCGTTGCTAGCAGTATGTCGTGTTATATGTTGTGTCTGTGTAGGTTTCTGACTCGTGACATTGTCCGGTTTTTGGTCTTGTACTATTAAAACACCACGGGGACTCACAGAATGTGTCACGGTATTTCCCACTCCGCCGTCTTGAGGTGTATGGTTTCCACGGTTACGAAGAACTGATCTCTCTGTATTTATCCCAATCGATTTCCGACCTGCGTGCATATGCTGCAGCATTGTCGGGCGTGGTTCTATCGTACCAGGTTTTGCAACTATCTCCCGAATCACGGTGTCACCTCCAGTGTTGGTTCCTATGGACTCACGCACAGACGGCTTCCGACGTAGCTGGCCGTACCCAATCGGTAGCTGATCGTCCCAAGTTGACTGGTTATTCCCCATTCTGCGTTTAGTACAACAAGTACTTAGTGTTCCACTGTAGCTGTACGTGTGTCCTATCTGTCCTATGCATGAATTGGGGTCAGAATTTGTATATGTCCTTTCACTAGGTGAATGGTTGACATACAAGGACGCCGCAGGTAAATGTTAGCAGCTCCGTTACGCATTCTTGACTCGGTATCACAATGAAAACCACTGACCTCATTGAAACGAATTTATTGAAAGACATCGATTGATAGACTATAGCAAGTCGTTAAACTAAAAAAAAGACCCCCCCCTCATACATGACCCCTAGTGCGCCAATATGTGGAATAATATAATATTTATTTGAGAGGTGATAAAGTTTACAGAGAGTAAAATACTGGATGTACATGAAATAAAAGTACTACGCAACAATGCATGCAAGCTAAAACTCAAAACGTAAAATACCAAAATTCCAAACGTGGAATGCGTGTCCTCCTGTGGCTTAAATTTGAATCTATTTATCCCTTCCAGCAATCTATATAAGCTGACTTCATTTTCATCTTGGTAAAACGTTACATTGATTCTGCAGACTGAGATAGGTAGTGAATATTTTGATAAAACCAATCCTATGTACACACAGTGTATACCGTTTAGGTTATTTTTATTTATAAACACCACAAATAATCTAGCTGGTATAGAAGTTACCAGTGCATGTTGTTGCACTGACTTACGCGACCTCGCATGAGTACACAATGGATGGATACCGTGCCGTGTACTCGCATATCTTGGCAAGGAGGGGACTGTGAACAGTGGACCACTGAACTATTGGTGTGATCGCTATTGTTACTTTTTATGCCACAGTTCACCGGTGTCCGATATTGTTCTTGCACCACCAAAGTACATGGAATTATATAGCCATGAATGGATCACGTGTTTTGTTTTAGTTGTCATTTTTCATTCCTTTTCTTTTATCTGCCATTTTGCATTTATTCCTTTTTGACGTTTCTCATTTTTTTAGTATCATATTTGATTAAAGAAACAATCAAATCAAAACAAGACCAGACGAAAACTATAATAACCAGATTGCTATCTAGTCGTATTGTTAAATATGACAAAATGTATAAATAATATGTTATTCACAGCGAAAAGAAGCAAGACTTACCCAAAGGACGTTATATGGGTACCAATTTGAAAACTTGCCATTTTTAGAAATTATGTTCTCAATGCTTAATGTTTGCCAGATGTTTAATCCCGATGAAAACATAGGTTAAATTATTCAATAGAAAAACGTTGCGTATTCGTTGCGTTGCGTTAATTATTTTATAAAACGAATAACATTACATTGTGCGTCACGATGAATATTACAATATTTCATATTTACATTTAAATGTAACAATTATATGCACAATATAAAACAATACATTGTAAATAAAATCAGACTTTGAAAAGTAGGGCATGAGGTATACCTTTGCAAAAAATGTTAACCAATTAGTTGTTGTTCTACATAATATAATATAATAACTATGCAATTTGCATAACCTGGATGGTACATTATTCACTAGGTCTAATTTTAGCAGGACTTATGATGCGGGGATATTCAATCGGTTTTAAATTCTCCACTTTGTGAAGGAAACAATCCATTGTATATATTATAGCATATTTATTATGTTTTAATTTACATATTAGCTAAGTAAATAGAAATAAAAAAAACCTGCTAATATACATATACAGTATAAGCGCAATTTGATACATTTCCTTTTGATGTAAGCCATTCCCATAATCCTTTGAAGTGTCCTTACTTCCGGGTCGAAGTGTCACTTTTTATAAACGAGTGCTACGTGCTGTCAACAAAATCGACCGAATCCCCGACAAATCCAGGAATTGAAGGCGTCCGCTATCGACAGACATTACGTCCCTAGTTAATTGTTTACTCTAGTCATGGGTTCTGACAGCGAGTTCTCCGGCAAGGCTACCTTTGCATTATGTAGTATTAGTTTTCTTGTAGGAGTGTTCGTTGGAGTAAAGTTTTACACTCAACGTAGAAAATATCTGGAGAAGAAAAGAGACAAAATGGCGGATAAATATAAAGAAGCTCAATCGAAGTTGGACGCACAATAAGGACAGTTATCTTTCGTGTTGATGAACTACACTGGGAGTCTTTATACTATTTAGACTATTGATACGAACGAACGGTTGTAGAGGTTGCAATAGTAACTCGCACAAGGAAACACGAATGACTTGCACTCCGTAGAAAGTCGTCGATATAATACCCAGCACATCGTAATACATTCTACATGTACAACTATATACATGAGCCCGAAGCCAGGAAAGAGTCTGAAGACGTATTTATTGAAAAAAAATAACAGGATACACCTCTAACATTTCACAGTAATAGGACTGATATAACAACCCGGGATGTCAACATCTACGAGAACACCGCCATTAACACGATATCTTCAGGCGTACCTTTGACCACAGTCACTTGG